CCCAGATATAAACTGCCTGAAAACATTGAAACGGTAAAATATTTGGTACCCACCAGACATTAAGTTCATGCATGACATGATTGAACAATAGTTAAACTGCACTACCATTTATTAGTTGAAAAATAGCACAATAGAGATACATTACATAAGGAAAAGAACTAGTATAAGTATTGCTCTTTGAGGTAAGTGCATCTAATGATCAATTCATGTGGTTGCCAACATAAGCAAACAGATAATGTCCATAACCACCAGTCAAAAAAGACAGGGGCTAGGGGAAATTTGCATTGATAAGAACCTTAATTAGCATTGAGTACTACTGTACTATGCACACTTACTCTTCCAGCTTCTGATGCATATACACAATCAAGGGAGAATTATTTGCATCTTTCTTTAACCGGTACACGACAAGTTTGTCACCATCTCTGATCAAGGTTAATGAATCAGTAGGCTCCTCCAGGAAGCGAAGAATCCGATTGTTGTATACCTATACAAGTGAGACGACGGAATAACGAGAAAATCCATTGTATGTGTTACCAAATGCTCCACTTACGCACCGGAATGAGTTTCATAACAACAAATATAGCATATATGTTATAAAAATATACCTCAGTAACCAGTAAAGTCTCATCCTCTGGTAAAGAGCAGGCAGTGACAAGAGCCTTATGAAGATCTTCGAATTTTCCAAACTTAGGAACGTTGATAGTCAATGGGATAGGCAGACTACTCCCATCGGCACTCATAACTGTTAAATCCATCGTTCGCATTGATGTGCATGGCAAAGGTAGCGATAGGTACATGAACGGATCAAACATAACAGAAACCTTTTTGCAAATAGGACAAACTAATGTTGATTTGTATTGGCCCTGCAACCAGAAATACATATAAATGTATTAGTGCTCGACAATATTAGGATATTTTCTTAGCAAATTCACTTAACCAATGAATATGAGAATATCCAGGATGTTAAAAGTTCTTGAAATAGCCAGATGGTTGAAGTGTAAAGAGCATCATATCAAACGAAAAACAATTCTCAAAACAAAAAGTGTACATAGAGTTATTTGACAGGGAATATCTTCCTTAAAACAAAGAAAACATTACGTGCACAGAACTCAAATCAAGTAGATAAAATTGCGCTGACTAATCTGATGGAAGAAATTTCAAACATGTGCATCTTAGATCAAATTGATACGTAGAACCCCAAATTGGATACCAGAATACTATACAGCTTGAGCCTGCCAACATTTTTTTACTAGAGATCAAGCTAAAGTTTCCTAATGTGCAAACCCAATCCTTAGCGTGCTTTTCAACAGAGGTATATAAACAATTTAGGAACCTGAAGATATTTACTTGGCACACATCAACAATTATTGAATCATTGCGAGCCACATGATTTCGCCAATATTCATCAGCCACTTCTGCGTCTGGACGGCCATCTCCATCTTTTGCTTCCACATAAGGCTTGTTCCTTACACGGTTTAAGTCCTCGTGGAGTCCATCCAGTAAGAAAGCTAGAAGTTCCTGCAACCAAATCAAGAAACCTCAAAAACATGGATGGAATGTCCCGATATGCAGTCTTTAATGCTGAAAGACGGGAAGATATATCAGGAAGGCTCACTTAATTCAGATTTTTATAAACTGAAGTGTTTTCCCTGACCTGCGAATCATGCTGATTAAAGCCAGTAAACTGAGGAGCAAAGCGAGCAAGTTTTGCTTTGAATGTCCTTGGGGATACTGTTGATGCACCTGGCGCCCACAGACTCCTCAACAAATCACCAAAAGCTAGGGCGATCTCACCCTGCCAGAAGAAAAATTGATGGTGAGGCTAACCAGGAAGAGAGAATAAATCAATTAGCCACTGTCGATAATATGTATCTATACAGCAAAACATAGTTTGACATACTTTCATTCCCAATGGGTTGTCAAGATTTATTTCTTTACTATATTCTCCAAGAAAGAAGTCAACAAGCTTTGGTGTGTGAGCCAGGCATTGAAGGGAACTGTTCATGAAACAAGTATTTCCTAGATTCTGCAAGCCTGTCAACCCCAAAGTCCCAGCTTCTCCAGCTTTTCCCAAAAAGCTCAAAGAATTACTCCGTCCAAATCTGAACATTGTGCCACCATTTATGCCATTGGTTTGCTGCGCGGAACCATCTTCCTTTTTTGATTCCTTCAATTTGATGGAGTCTGATAATCCATAAATCTGAAGCTCTAGGAGCATCTGTTGGACCAAAATTCATTATGACTAGGAATCAGAATCAAAGAAATAAGGAAAAAGAAAAGGAAAAATGGAAGGCAAGTCTGAAATAAGGCAAAGGCATTTTCATTGTAACATACTATGACGCAATTTCTGCATTCACTCAGAAAGCACTACACTTACTTCCTGATCTGCTTGTTGTGGAGAATCTTTGGAATTGCTCACATCACTTTCGAAAAACAAGGTTGTTTGGCCAGAGATATCCCAAATGCGCAACTACAGAATCAAAACCAGCCGTATCATTTGTAATTGCATGAATAAATATTGCATGTACCATATAGTAGGCATAAACTGAAATGTAATTCATGTACGTAGTAGGTAAACATAAATGCACAGAACACTTTACCTGCTCAGAATCCAGACTGAATATCTTGCATGCTCTTCTGAAGCATTCAACTGAATTGTCCTGTATGAGGGAAAACATAATAAGATTTGGAACCAGAACAACAACAACTGAGAAGCTATGCAAAAATTCTGCAGATAAAAAGAACAAGAAACTAAGTTGTTTCTAATTATGGTTGACTCTTCATTGCAAGATGAAGTTTTAACTGTAGGAATAAATTTTGTAAAAGATAACAATGGTATTGAATTAATTAAACATGTAGAAGAACTATACAGGACATCTTGGCCCACTGTAAAACAAGACGTTTCAGGATGGATAGCAACATTCTAGCAGGAAATTTTAATATCCCTAATAGTTTCAACTATTTCCTTCTCATGTTTCATGTGAACAAGAGTGTCAGAACTACAGGCCTATAGTTACGTAATGTTTTGTCTGGTAGGTAATTTTTATTATGAAACATAAGTTCTAAAGAAGTCCCAGTGAAAAAGAATCCAGTTTAGGTTCCTAATCATCTTCTAAATGGAAAATCGACCACTCCACTTCTATAGCAGCAAGTATATGTGGCATCATCAAGGCACTTGATCAGGCAAACAAAAGAAGGCTGTAAGTTTGAAGACACCTTTTTGCAAATTTTAACCGCCAATAAATTGGTTTCCTGCAAAACGGAGAGCCTGAGTTGTACTGGATAAACATCACCTCTGTCAACTCCTCCGGCTGAGATACTTTTTACGCCTCTCTCAGTATTTTTATCATCATGATGCCTAGGAACAAAGATTAGGGAAATCACCCTTTGCTTTTTAGATGGGATAGTGTACAGAAAAAACGACACTTACCATTTGAGTGCCTGCAGCCACATATCACTTGAGACCAAAGCAAAGTCCCTGCCTGAGATGCTTGCTTCTCCCATTTCACCATTCTGTAATGCATCTCCTTCTCTCTTCAGATCAAACAAAATATCGGAGTTAAATATGTTATTTATCAACTTCATAGGGCCTCCGTAAGACGACCCAGTTGTTGCTGTATACAAGATCTCTCTTTTTTCAACTAATTCGGAAGGCATTGAATCTTGGGCATCTTTCCACCACCTGAAATTCAAGTTTGAATATTGCCATCGGTTAACTGAATGATGTCCAAATAACATAACATTGGATATAATTCTGAAATGAATGAGAATCATATTTCGTAAATATCTGATTGACTCTCATTCTAGTCTATCATTAGCTCAACTATCAATCAACAGTAGGAGCTACACCCAAGAGCTAGAAGAAAGGAAATAGAATAGAAAAAGGCACCTAGCGATTGTTCACCAAACAAATCGAGACACTCAATACCTATTTTAACCAATACTAAAAATATAGCCTCTCACGAAACTGGTATTGTCTGTGAAATCTGATTGTTGAGCACTACATAAAACACGCCACATATATTCATATACTGAATCCAAATCACATTCATTCGAGTCTTCTGCAATACATCGCAAATAAGCTCAGGAAAAGGAACAGATTAACAAAACCCATCCGTATGCATCCGAAGAAAGGATCCATAAGTTGTAGAACCCTAGATCAAATCAATCATTAAACTCCCACAAGATTCAAATCCAACCCATTCGAATAAAACTCACTCATGATGCGATTCAGATTCGCCGAATATTCCCCCAATCAAAAAGGAACGACATGAAAATAAAACGAAACGATAGAGCTAGAGAGATAGATACCTCAAGGGAACGAAGTAGACTCTCTGCTCGCCATTGAACGAATCGATCCGCTGAGTTGAATCGGGAGATTCCTCGGACGATGAACCGCTCATTGTTCCTCCGACACAGGATTGCCACACGAGCAAGATTCGCAGATGATAGTTTTTCAGACAATCAGCATCTACAATGCCAGGGCCAAATTAAAGAGAGAGGAAAATAAAAGGAGAGATTTGGGCAAGAGATTGTTTTTTTTTTTTTTTTTTTGGTTGTTGTTGGAGGAAGTATTGTCTTTTGTGAAGATGATATAAGGAGGGAAATTTATATGATAATTATTATTTTGTCACAATTTGTTTTTGTAAATATAAGCGTTTTTCTTTGTCAATAATTATATCATTAGTACGAGCTTCTGTATTGACTAATAATCAATGTTTTTCTCTTACCGAAAAAAAAAATCAATGTTTTTCTTACATATTTCAGATATAATTTACATAGTATATCCAAATTGTACCCTGTCTTGTGAATTTTTTTCTTTACACAAATATGTTTTTCCCATATATCACAAATAGTATTTTATAAAGTAAAAAAAGTACTGTATATTGGCTTTTCTAATCGTCTAAAGCTTTCCATTGAAAATTTAAGATAAAGTACTACTAAACTATACAGTATTATGCTTCCTTTGTCAAATTGTATGCTAAATTAGTCATCCTCCATAGTCTTGAATTCTAATCTCATTTTTTTTATTTGGAAAAGTACATCGGTACAGTAATTATTTTTTGAACTGTTTAAATATGTTGTCATTTTGATAGTCTGAAAAGCTTAATTGATCTAAAAAGCCAAAAAAGTGGGAGTGTGAATCCTCTAAAACACAATATGTTCAAAATATCACATCAGTAGAAGCGTGAGGCAGTGTCGTAGACATTTCCACCAGGGTACTGGCCCCTAGGTTCGAACCCGTGATCTCTGTTTCCGCCTTGAAACCTAGGTCTCTCTCCGTATGCTTCAAACCGTTCTGAACCATAGGATCTGGATGGTGCATCCGCCACAGCTGCTGGATCTTGAGCATTGCCAATGTAACCTTGGGGTCCTTGGGGATGACCAGATGGCATTAGATTGGCTGGACCAACCGCGTTTGGATGGTACTGATCAGTCATCCCCATGGCTTGCTGCTTGTATTGTTGCTGCCTGGCTTGTGATTCTTTCCTCATGATCTCTTCTCTCTTACCTGTGTGCCGTGCTCTAAGTGTAGCTAACTGTTCTTCGTACCGAGTACCAATGGTCTTTATTTTCTGTATACAGATTTCAGATCAAATGATTAGAAACCCAAACTAAAGTATTTCAGTAGCTCCAATTTGTTGCTAACCTCTCGATGTCTGGCAATCTCTGCATCCTCTGCTTCGATTTGATCTTTTGCTAGTCTTGTTATATCATCCATGAACTTTTGTTCAAGACCTTCAAAGGTCTGAATCCCACGGTTATTATCATAACCAGTCTTGGGGTTTTCTTGGTGTTGTGATTGAGCTCTGGGATCACTGCCTTGCTTCTCCATTCCTGGCTTTGAATCCATTTGGCCACGGTAATACGTCCTTGATGAATCAACACCTTGTTGTCCTGTGTCAACCGAACAATTATTAAAAGGGATAAGACCTAAAGCTCCAGAGACATTCGATGCAGGTTTTACATAAGGAATCATATCATTTTCATCTTTCCTCTGACAATTTCCGCAAATATCTCAACCAGAACTACACTCCTCCCATCCTATGTAAAATGTCACTGGAACACACACCAACTATAGGAACAACGTTGGTCATAAAAAAGGACGATAAGTCATATATGAGGATGAGCATTACTTGTATTTGCCAAGACTTCTGCGCAATAATATCATTGCCTACTAGACCTAATAAACAAACCAATCACATGGTGATTGCTCTTCTCAATAGTACTAAAACACAAAGACCTAACTATAAATACTGACACAATAAGTAAGATTTACCTTCATTGTAAACGGCAGTTGCCATTGGTCTTGACATATTTGGGCCATCTCGTTCCCATCTCCATTGACCCTCTGCTTGTGAATCTGAAAATGGTTGGTCCCTCTCAGGCGTGAATGCCTCTAATTGACCTTGGAAATCAGAATGGGCGTCCTGTATCTGTCCAGCTCCATATGCACTGGCAGGTGTGTCCACAAAGTTACTGTGTCTTCTCATTTATACTTCCTCTCAAATCTGACCCACAAAGTTGATAACTTAGAATGAAATTCAGATTCAGGTACACTTCATGACAGACATAGCACAGTTTTGTAATCTCCAAAACCAACTAAGAAGTAAAGACATTAACTTATTAAACCGCAGAGAAACACGATCTAAATACAACCACCATTCAGCTATAACTTAGACCTAATGATGTACCAAATGAGAATGGGTTGCAGATACTGTGCAGCATCTTGTAAAACCAATCCAAAGCATCGATTTTTTTGAGACCAGACATGATCAGAGACGCCAATCGTTATAAGCATGACAATACCACATCATTCATACATGGAAAGCTACACTCTTTTTATAAACTCTCTCACTGCTACAAAAGTATCAAGCAACCCAAATTTGGCAATAGATACTAGCTGCTTATGCTTACAAAGAGATTATAGCTAAACCCAAGAAAGTTTATCAACTACAAAATGTAGAGGGAAACACAAGACTCTTCGGAACTAACATCTCCACAACTCAACAATCTTGAGTTCTTAATTTTTAATATAAGAACAATATCGAATTCTTCTCTCAAAGTTATCAGACCCAGGGATTCCGTATTCTGATATTAGCTTCAGATGAAGAATTTTTCAGAGACATTACAATAATCACTTGAACTGAATCTTTCAAGGATACAAAAAACATCGACTCGATTCTCCTAACAGTTTAAAAGTCAAAATAAATGATAATCAGAACTCACAGAGAAACCCAAAGGGGAGAAAAATAGGTGGGAGAAGAGCAACGATGGAATCTGAGAGCTTAACAACATACCCGAAGCCTCAGAAGCGGAAGAAGAAGACGATGCAGTAAGGCCGATGAAAGCCGAGGACGAAGCGATGTACACAATTCCATTAATTTTGTGAAATCTGGGTCTCTAATTGGGCCTCTGGGTCGGGTCGGTCTGTGCCATGTGTATCTATTTAGTATTTACCATGATGCGATGCGTGTCTTGAGTAGGGGATTCAAAGGAGTGGTGCGTGTCCGTGACTAATGAATCTTGTGTATTGCTTTTTTTTTCAGTAGTTTTTTTTTTTTTTTTGTTTATAACTTTATAATAAGTGAATCAATACAGTTTTAAAGCTATTTGGAGAAAAATGGACCGTCACTGTTTGCAACCTTTCAAAAGCTTACTTCTTATGTATACTTTCTTTCCACATAAACATTATGTTTTATTAAAAAAAGAAAAAAAAACATTATGTTGTATTAATTTGTAATGAAATATCGTAATTCGCATGCTATTATAAAAATTTATCCTCTAGAAGGCCATCATTATTCGTCATTATGTTTTCCATCAAGTGTTTAAGGTTTGGTAGACAATAAAAAACCAAAGTTTTGAGTAATAATGGAAATCTTATCCAAGCTAAGGGGAAAAAGGTTCCCAAATTTTAATCACTATACAATATACATTGTTTTTTTTTTCTTTTTGTCATCTTAAATTTTAGATGACCAAATAAATATTACTATACATAGTTAAATTTTTTAAAAATTATTAAACAACAGGATTTTGTTTAAATGTCAAAAATTATTAATCGATCACTGAGATCTGATAAGCTGTTTGTTTACAAGGTTCCAAAGGCTTAAACCAATAATTTTAATGTTTTTAACAAAAACAACAACAAAAAATGCAGAGAATCTCTCTAATAAGTAATAATTAACTCTTTAATTAGTAGTATTAAAAAACCGTTATGATTAATAACTAAAAAAATAAAAAAAAAATAGTAAAGCGAAGGAAAAAAAAAGAAAAAAAAAAAGGAGTGATGAGATTTTTACAGCTCAGGAGGCAAAGCATTCGTACAACTGACACTCTTCCAAGAAAGCATCAGATCCAATTTTCTCCGCAATCATCTCCCAAAAGAACAACAACAACAAAAAAGAAGCAGATTAAAAGAAGTTAGAGAGAAAGAGATAAGCTCGTGAATGAAGCAAGCAGCATTGAAGTGAAGAAAGTGAAATCGCCATGGATGATCATCGCCTTCGCTTCAGCCGCAGAATCCGGTTTCTTCTTCTCGCTTGGCTCCGTCGTTCTCGCTCCGGTTAGCCTCACCAATTTCGTCTCAGTCTCCTTCATTTTCTCTTTTTACGATTAGATTTTCACTATTCTGGTTCTGGACTTGATTTTGACTTTCTTAGTTTCTGCTACTCTTTTTTTTTTTTTATCTCAGATCAAAATTCTATTCCATGTTTTAGTTCATCGATGCACTATAGTTTGGTATATTCTAGGTTTAACGACGAAGATTTGTATAGTGGAGTTGATGTTGGTGCTATAGAAAAACTATATAATTTGCTAATACTCTTGTGTGTTCTACTTAGCTTCATGAACTCTCTATTGTTAAGGTTTACTTGGTTACTTTGGCCGATTTCGACTTTAAACCCACATTTTTACAAAATTGAGCCACCGATTCAGTTTCTTTTAAATGTTCTTAGTCTGTGCGATTTATACAAGATTCAACTGCGACATCTTTACAGGAAGAATAGAATTCATCAGACGATTTGGGTACAAGGAAATAATCAAAGCAACAGAAGGCTTTCGTAAGGTTATTTACAGCAATTATCATGGTTCTGCATACAGAGCCAAGTTCAAAGGTGGTGAGGTTGCTTTGGTCAAAGAGCTCAATGCTCTCGATCTTGGACGAGAAAGGTTTGATGAGGAAGTCCAACTCTTGGGTCGCTTGCGTCACCGTCACCTCCTCACACTTCGCGGGTTTTGCATCGGACGAAAGAGGTTTCCTTTCATCTCTTGAAACTTTGAAAGAACCAAATGTTTGTTTTTGTTTATTTGCTTTTGGATTTCTTTTTTTTCTTGCTGTGCAGGCTGCTAGTGTTTGACAACATTGAAAATGGAAGTTTGAAAGAACACCTCAATGGTAAAACCCTCAAAACATAATCATCAAAACATTTCATTTTATTGAATCTTTGTCTCTTTCTTTTGATAGATCCGCTAAAGACTCCTTTGAACTGGAAGACTCGCATCCAGATAGCCATTGGAGTCGCTGCTGCATTAGTAAGTTGCTTTTAAAAATCATGGACAGTAGTAATATGAATCTTCTTGCTTATTCAACATATCAAATATACTATTAAAGGGACTCTCAGAAGATAATTATGATCCACTCTTTGACCACAGGAATACTTGCTAATCTTCAGCAGTAATGATGCACAGATATATGATGTTTCAGTGAACTCATGTAACATCATGTTGGATGAAAACTTCACCCCCAAAGTAAGTTTGAAGATACAAAGTGTACTAGATTTTCCCTCATGGGTTCCTTTTAAGCTCTTTCTCATACCAATTATCAATACCTGAAATCTTCCTCTCATAGATTTCAGATATCCGCGTCAACAGACACCCAAAAAACCATCCCAAAGCAACCCATGATTCTTGCTCTGAAGGTAAAACTGAAATTCTCTTGTTTCCAAGATCAAAGCTATTCAGCTTCATTCATGGTTTGAAAAATATGGCGTGTAGGATCATGTGCTGATGAGGAATGTGGAAACGTGATATTCCAACTAGGAGTGTTGATGTTGGAGCTGATCACAGGACAGTCATCAGACAGACAAGGCAACGACTTGATCGAATGGGTACAAGACTCATGCATTGCAAACTCCATTGATAAAATGATTGATCCAGATTTAGGTAACAACTATAGCTCTAGAGAACTCCAGAAAGTTCTAGCCGTGGCTCGACTCTGCATAAAGACGAGGTACGAGCCCCCTTCATTCTCAATTACACATGTATACCGGTATCTACAGAAGAAGATCGATGTTGCAGCATAAATAGTAGTTTATGTTCGTGAACTGGATTGGTTTGATGGTTAAAACTGATATGACACGCGATTCATCATCCTTGTTTACTCTTTTGCCTATTTCACACCATTCTAGATGTAATAACAAGTAATAGAGTAGTAGTATTGTACTTGTCTTCATATAAGTACTTTTGATATTTTAACTGATACAATTGTGTGTAATTGACTTCGTTTCCTAGCTTATTATTTGAAAAACAATTCTTTTATCAAGTACTTATGAGAGACAATCCATGAAAATTTCTAATTTTCTATAATTAACCTGAAATCTAAATGGTGGCCATTCATATTGCTGATTTTGCCAGAACCAAATACAATACACCTCTCCTCTTACTTTTAAAATGCCTATTACTTAAGAAAGCAATCCAAATCCTTGTACGTTTTCCCTTTATCTAGGGAAAGTCTAAACGCAGAGCACAGACCTACTCAAGGTGTGAACTTAAAATTCAATTTTTGCTACTATCGGTCAATATACCATCAAAGAAAACCTGAATTGAACAGAAGGTAGAAAACTCTTTGTCTCGGACACTAAATTGAGAACAAAATCTCAAAGAACTACAAAGTTTATTCTCAAACTAAAAAAAAAATGGTAACAAGGATATGAATTAGGACGAGGTTCTTCCCACTGAATTGGCCAAGTCTATAGAAAGACCCAAAAATAATACAACGCAAAAAGAAGAAGCAAATGTTGGATATCACTAAGATGGAGAATGTGGATCACTGCTGGGCACATTGCACACGCTGGGCACCGCCTGGGTGATCTTCATCATCATCATCGTCATAAGCCTCTCTTTGAGCTTGCGCCTTCCTTCTCATCTCATCCTCAATGTTCACATCATGCAGAGTCGTCTCTTCGCAGTCGTCTATATCCATGTCGCTCATAGCTGCCTTGGTCGGCTTTGGCAAAACTGCTTCAATGGCCTTTGTCTGATCCGGGCTCAGAGATTCTGGGAACACAACCGTGAAGTGGATGTATAACTTACCCTTCATGAACGGCCTTTGGTATATCACCATTCCCTCATCATTTATAGCCTTGTATGAATCTATGAGCAACCAAATAGACACCACGGTAAGGCATAAAAACTGGCATAATAAAAAATGAAAGAGTGCATGACTGGAGCAAGTGAAATACGTACCAGGTTTGACGACCTCGCCGGGATTGGATTTGATGAGAAGCTTTCTTGAGTCCAAATGGGTCAGAACAAACTGGAAGCCACACAAAGCCTCGGTTAGAGAGAGGGTGTGCTCCACAAAGAGATCATCCCCCTTTCTTTTAAACTTTGGGTGCTCCTTCTGCTGAAGGACGAACACTATATCCCCAGTGACAGTATCAGGCTGTTTCCAAATGAAAAAGGCAGGAAATAGTCAATAGACGGAAAAATATAATGATCAAAGGCAGGACATATAATATAATGATCAAAGGCAGGACAAATTGAGTATCACAAACCGCTTCATCTGCTTGTCCACTGAATGTGATCTTCTGACTGTGTTGCATTCCCTTCTCCACATGTACTTCAAGCACCTTCTTCTCGGAGACAACCTTCTCGCCTTTACATTGTGGACACCTATCCCGATCATTGATGGTCTCTCCTGTACCTTTGCAATCACTACAAGCATGCTGCATCTGCTGAATCATTCCAGGTCCAAACTGTCTGATCGAGACCTTCATTCCTGTACCTTGACAGCCACCACATTTCATTGAAGCTCCAGACTTGGAACCCTTTCTGTAATGATAGAGCATATAATGTCAGTGAAAGAGCTCTTTTACACATCTAAGACATTCAAATAGGGATAGCTAAAGGAGAACGAAGATTTGAAACATGAGAGCAAAACATATATCAGAAAAGAAAACATATGCACATGGTCAGAAACTGCAAAAATAACAACACAAAGCAATACCGTAACCGTGAAAGAATTAAGTAAGTACAGACCCGTTACACTTTGAGCACAAAGCCTTCCTAGAAAGTGAGAGTTTCTTAGTTGTTCCGAGATAAACATCCTCTAAGGAAACCTTCAGGGGATGAACAACATCCTCGCCACGCCTCTGCCTCCTTCCCCGGCTGCTACCACCTACTCAGAAATAAAAATAAATTTATCATCTTTTCAAAGGCAATATTGATAGTGATAAGATAAAAAGTTCACAATCACAGTTAGAGAAACAAACCTCCGAATGGGTGTCCACCACCACCAAAGAAGGACGAGAAGATATCAAATGGGTCGTGCCCACCGCCTCCACCACCCATTCCCTCCTTGAGTGCATCCTCCCCATACTGATCGTAGATCTCCCTCTTCTCAGGATCACTAAGAACTTCATAAGCCTGAGCTAGCTCTTTAAACTGCAGAGACATGTAACATAGCCTTTAATTGATTTTATCAAATACAGACAACCAATTTACTCAATAGTCATAATCTCCAAAACAACTAAATTCGACTATTTCAAGTACTAAAAGAAGATTTCTTGGCTATCTGAAACAAAAGATCTAAAGACAAGTCAAATTTAAACATCAGACAAGAGCAGCCATAAAGTGAAACATCCAAGTTTATGTTTCAAAAATCTATTAAGAGATTCACAAATCTAACAAGAGTATCTACACAAAGACGCTAGTTGACCCAAAAACTCGCATATTTCAGATTAAATCGAACATTAAGAATACTTATACGAAGATCTAAGAGGCTTACGCAACCACCATCGATCGTACAGTCCAAATCAAACCAACAACAGCAATAGATTTATAAACCAGACATCAATTGAATTGTCACAGAATCTGAGCAATAAGGAAGAAGAGGATCGAGAAAAAGGATTCACCTTTTCGGGATCTCCACCCTTATCAGGATGGTTTTTGATGGCGGCTTTCTTGTAAGCTTTCTTGAGATCTTCAGGTGAAGCGGTCTTAGGAACACCAAGGATCTCGTAGAACTTGGTGTTATCGCTCTTCCGAGAAGGTCCTCTTCCGAACATCTTCTTTTCTCTCTTCTCTTTACGAAAACCCTAAAAAAATTAAAGACAGAGAGAAAAGTCCTCGCCGAGGAGAAGGAGACGGAGTTTGTTGTGGCTGCTCGAAGACTTTGCTTCTGTTCAAGGTCTTGTGGAGCGGAACACTCTTATAACTTTTTATATCTTTTTCTTTTTTCCCTTTTCCCTTTTCCCTTTTTTTTTTATAATTCGTTTCTTTTCCTTTGAGAAAAAGATATAGGAAATTTCTTCTATAAGATATATGGAAATTTTAATTTTAAAATCATATAGAGAAGGATATAACTTAGAAATTTACATTAAGAAGTCCATATACTCCTCTGTTATTGTATGACATGCAACATATTGTTAAGGTCTCCTTTTCAAAAAGAGTTAATATGTTAAGATTTTTTTTTATCTACCACATATGACATATCCGAAATTAATATATTTTAATAGATTAAAATTTATATCCGAAATTCCCAAATATTTTTCCAATGAAAGATGTGTAAGATTAATATATTTTTTTCATTAAATATTTTTTAATTTATTATGTTGTAGTAATTTTATGTTGTTATTTGTATGCGGAAGAAGTATTTAGTCAATAATTTCTCGTACTTGGTTCTTTGTGTTGGTGATATATAACATGTGCATGTGTGGTTTGTTCGTTGTGTCAAGTTTTACTCAAACAACATGAGTTTGGTCACTGAAACATCACAATTCACAACAAATGCTTGAATCAATGTCGCGACTCTTATCTTTAATTAGCAGATGCTGGAATGCCAATTTGTGATCTCACTAATACTTACTGATACTTAAACCATACTCTATTCTTGTTCTGAACAATGTCGAGGATAGCGCTTGAGGACTGATCATGTAACCTTTGGTATTCGACCTAGCTAAACTAGACAAAGTGACACTCCTTGAGGTTCTTGATTCTTCTTCTTCTATATCAATATTGTCTCTCTATTCGCAATCATATGATTCTAGATGTTGAACGTCTTGAGTTACGTACAAATGACTTAGCCAACCCGATTATATATACAGTACATGAAGAATCCAATTGATATTGTTGTTGGATGACAAATTTTGTTTTTATTTAGTATTTAATAATTAAAATAAACCAGATGTTAAAAAGAAATGTTATTGATGACAAATTTTGTTAAGATTAAATGATCCAAATCATAAATAATGCATGAGTAATGCCACATACATGTGATACATCGAAACAAAATGATTACACAAATCAATTAATCAGGGCATGATATAAACAAGGATCCTTGTTTACTAAAGTGAAGTGCGTCATGTTGTCGCCACTACGACAAGTACGAACAATGCTGATGATAGCCTAATGCAACTTGGGAAGTAGGAATAACACGCACGTTTCAACATATGATAGACCAGACAGACCACACCACGCACTAGGCGGCACTCATGCTAGATCACTCCTGGATCCAACCTTAATTTTGACCTGCTTTCAAAATGTATGTGCCATGTAAAGTATTCTGACTGATTTAAAATCATTATTTTGCTATAGCACGATGTCTAGCTATATGTCTCTCACACATTCAGTTTTTATTTTAATATAAAACTTCCACATGGCTGTTATGTACTTTGAGTTTACGGAATTAACCAATTCACAACACACTAACCTAAGAAGAAGAAAAAAAAACAGATGAAAATTAAATTTTGATAAGAGGTCAATCTGTAATTAAACCTTTGTAAAATCTAATACATTTTCGAATTGGATTTCACTCCTAGCTAAATCATCTAAATATACATGAATACATCAAATTAGATCATGGAAAAAATTGGTCAACGTAAGATTAATACTCATGTTTTCTTATCTTCTAGCTAATTTCATATGGATCTAATTAAGACCAAGACATGTGGTTGATATAAGACGTGAACATCATCAAAACGTCTTCAGAATAACAAACACACCAATGTTTCCACGTGTGTGTTCGTTCTCTCATTTATAACATAGTTAATTTGCTAATGATCAGTATATGTACATACAAAGTTTTTCAATTTCCCCCACAAAAAGGCAAAATAAACGTATCTAAATAGATGCGGAAAAAAATATTTTCTGTTTGTTAAGCCGAGTGATTAAGTATAAAAAAAAACTAAATACGTGTCCTTCTAAACAAATACTACAAAAAGAAAAGAAAAAAAAAACATCACAGGAAAATAGTGCATACCAGTTACCAAATCAGTTGGACCTACCGAATTAGATACAACATTTAATGTCTGGTTTAATTATTACATTCTCACGTTTCATTACAATAAACAAACAAAAACGTTATATATATATATACTGTATATGTGTATTATTATATAAATTAGCACTTGCACATCATTATCGACCGACGTTACGAACGGCGGAAAAAACACAGAGCAACGCCGTTAACTACAGCGTACATAAAACTTGACGACGTCAGGTATTACGCTTGTCGGTTTTGTAAATGACAAATATACCCCCACGACAAAGTTGCGCGTCAAAATCACAACGAAACACACAACAATCGATCATCTCTCTCTCGACTCTCTCGTCATCTCTGATCTCTCCATCATCACTACTTGACTGTGAAAAAGAACCCTTTTTGTTTTTACAATCTGAGATCTAAACAGATATTTCTAAATTCTCATTTAATTGCCCCCTAAAGTTCCAATCTTGCCTTTTTTACCCCAATATCTCTGGAGATAATAGCCAGCCATTGAGCGTTTCTTTCTATAATTTCTCTCATCGATTAGCCCTCAAGTCATTGAGAGTTTCGACGGATTCATCACCGGGAAACCTATGAGAATCTGTGGAACTCCTTGGTTTCTCAGAGCTTCAATGGTGAAAAATCCCTAATTTCATCCCAAATCGAGGGGGAAAAGCTTCAACTTGTCTATTCATGGGGGATTCAAGCACATTCCGGTAGATTCTTTTCCAGTTTCTTGGGGGGGAAAGAGAAGTCAAATTCCTAGGGTTTTCCCGATTTGAAGTTTCGATTTTTCTTTCCAAATGTTCTCGAACCAGTTTGTTCTCGTCTTCTCTCTTCTTCTATGTCTCCCTTTTGCCATCTTCTTTGTTGCGCCACATGTCTTCCCTTCTCCTCCTGGTGAATCATTAATCCCAATCTCCGATGAGATTGATGACCGGAGTTTATTCATCGCCGCTGCTGGGTCAACCTCCCTTTCTCATCTTTCATCTGGAAACCCTAACCCTAAGCTCAAGATTGCTTTTTTATTCCTCACCAACTCCGATCTCCATTTCGCGCCAATCTGGGATCGGTTCTTCTCTGGTCATTCTAAATCGCGCTACAACGTCTATGTCCACGGAGATCCTTATGTCAATATCACCAGACCTGGGAATGGCTCTGTATTTGAGAATGCCTTTATTGCCAATGCTAAGCGCACCGCACGAGCCTCTCCGACTCTTATCTCCGCCACGAGACGCCTCCTCGCCACCGCATTTCTTGATGACCCTGCCAATACTTACTTCGCTGTGCTCTCTCAGTATTGCATTCCTCTCCACTCTTTCAACTACGTTTACACCTCTCTCTTTGAGTCTCCAACTTTTGATAAATCTGATCCGGATCCGACTCCGAATCCGAGAGGGATACGGATCTTGTACCGGAGTTTTATGGAACTGATATCTGATGAACCGAGGCTTTGGAAACGCTACACTGCTCGGGGAAGGTATGCTATGATGCCTGAGGTTCCGTTTGAGAAGTTCCGAGTTGGTTCGCAGTTCTTTGTTATGACTAGAAGACATGCTTTGTTAACAATCAAAGATCGGATCTTGTGGCGCAAATTCAAGCTCCCCTGTTATCGTTCCGACGAGTGTTATCCGGAGGAGCATTATTTCCCAACGCTCTTGAGCATGAAGGATCCGGATGGTTGCACAGGGTATACGCTTACTCGGGTTAACTGGACTGGCACTGTGAAAGGACATCCTTATACCTATAAACCAAAGGAAGTCGTGCCTGAGCTGATCCAGAGACTCCGGCGATCAAACCACTCAAGCTCCTATTTTTTCGCACGCAAATTTACCCCAGCTTGCTTGAAGCCACTGTTGGCCATTGCAGATTCCGTGATTTTCAGAGATTAAGTTATACGGGTAAGTGTTTCCAAAACCTCTCCCTTCTTACTTACTTTCATACTAGGGATTGTAGTGGGTCTATGACTTGGTCAAGGAACTAAACTGTAAATTGATAGATAGTTCTAATGTTAAGGCTTGTTTTGATCTAAAGCCATCTAATATTAAACATGTTTATAAGCAGAACATTGGCTATGGTGGTTACACAAAACTTAGTTTTATTTTTATCTGAGTAAGATTTATTAGTGAAGAGCTAAAGAAAAACGCTTTGTATTATATTCTATGAATATGAATCATAAGAATCAGCTTGGATTATAGAAGCCTGTCATGCAAACAGGATACTGTGCTCTTATTACCTGCATTGTTCTGTTTGTTAAAAGAAGACGCTTTGAATACAGTTACATATCTACCAATCTCTAGTTTAGATGTAGCCCTCTCTGATTGTAGTAAGCAAGTTCTTGGTAATGGTGGAAAGAGTATTATGAATACTCAGGTTGGTACAAATTAATCATCACAAACTGATTTCTCTGTGAAATTTCAATGAAAAATCATGTATCATCGTTAAGATATATGTCTGCATTGGCTAGACTTGGCGCTCTGAAGAAACTGTGTGGAATTGCTTTGTGTTGGTGCTCTTTTGTTTGGATCTTTAATAATAGTGAACAGATTATCAGATTTTTTTTTGCTTTTGGATGTTCTTTCAGGGTGAGAAAAGAAAGTTTTGGACCGAAGAGGTTTTACGTTATGGGTTCAACTGTTGAAGAACAGATGCCACTTTCAGGATTAAGAAGAGGCAAAGCGAAACGATGTTCAATATAAATAAACCAGTTTTAGTGGTTCCTGGAGGCAGCGCACTCCTGTTAGCTGTTGTGACATATATATATCACACGACACGAGATCACAGATTAAGAGATGGAGAATTTGTAATTTGTTTTTTTGTTTTTCTTTTTGTTCTTTGGAGCTGGTGCTGTTACATAGCAGAGCTCTTTTTACCTCAAAGGCTTGGGGTTTGTAGCATTATAAATGTGTCAAGGAAATCTATGAAGGCAATTTGTTATTTTCTTGTTCTCTTGTGGTGAACACCACATTCAATATATAAAAGGGAAGATCAAAGTTCACTTTTTTTTTATCTAAAGGCTAAAAGACATCATCATCTGGACTAGACGCAATACAAAGTTAAGGTCATAAGCGTGTAAGATATCTCTTCCATGTTTCTGATGTATTTGGAAAGACAAATGAAGTTGGTGATGTACAAAGAGAAACACAGACGCAAGCAGAAAGAGTCTGAGATCATCCTCGAGAAGACCAATCCATCAGGGTCAACAACAGCTATAAAATGGCGTAGATCAGCCTTTCTTGACTGGCCTTTGGACGTACGATTTGTTCGGATCCTCTGTCTTCAGTTTTGGAGGACGAGTCTCTCCTTTTTTGGCCTGATGAGTGATAACAGAGGTTTAGGTCGATGTTTGGCCCAAATGAAATACGTAATCAACCAAATAGCTACCAGTGTATCTCTTACCTTCTTTCCTGATTTCTGAAAGTCTCTCCAGCTTGATACCTGCACATAGAGACCGAAACTTAAATGAAAACAACTAACTGCAAGGACAAAAACCAATTGCATATACAGTATGATCTTTGATATATGTGTGGCAGGTGGAACCAGGACTTGCTCATTCAAGTCCAAATACAAGTGTCAAAGAGAATTTGGTTATTTGATCCCAAAAAAAAAAGAGTATTTGGTCATAAGAACTGATAAACAATTCAATATATTCTCACATGAATTGGCTTCCATAAATCCATTAACGTAGGTGTCGGAAGGTGAGCTAAAATGGTATTAAACTAATGCATTCATAGGCAGTTACGGTATTTAGAATCAGATGAGTTTTCTTCTCGAAAGCCATTTCTAAGCATACATGTGGGTGGAAGGGTCAGCTAAATGTTCTAAACTAATGCATTCATAGGCAGGTAATGAATTAGGATCATCGGTTAATAAAAGAACATACCCTTTTTTCTCTTGTCCCTTCCCACTGTTCTTCATGCTCACGCTTTTTCTTCCACATCTCCTTTTGTTCTGCTTCATCCTTCTTTAGTCTTCCCTCTTCTTCTGATATCTAAATGTCAAAGAAGTAAAATAGCACCAGAAAATAAATGAATAATTGTGTCACTTCTCATGGAAAAAAAATATCACGCAAGGCAAAATAGAAACTCTACATACCCTCATTGCCATTTTTCTTCTACGCCACTCTTGATCTGTTAATATCTCTCGGACCTTTAACTTAAGCTCCTTCTGAAACTCTTCAGATTGCTCATATATGTGCTCATGTTTTCCCTGTGTACATAAAAATTGTGTAGCACCACAAGTTAAAAGGAATTTGGACTACTGAAAAAAATATGAAATGGAAGATATTAAGGATTTTGATATTTGAGAATACAAGAAGTGGTGGCAAAACAGAAATTAGACAAAAGGAGCAAGAATAAAGACAGAGTGGTTAATTTCAGATATCCTTTTTTCTACCTCATAAACTTTGACAAACATGAGCTAGAAATTCTGTCGCTTAGAATTCTTATTTCATAAAACAGGTTAAAGGTTCGCTGTTTCAGTCTAAGTAGCAATTTGGGACTACCTTACAACAACGTCCAGCAAGTAAAAAAAAATAAACCGAACAAGATCATGTCAGCTAAGCAAGATATTTTCAAAATGTACGACTATGTTACGCATGCATCTAGAACAGCTTAATCTGACAACTTGAAGAAAAATTCTAGCAAAATCGCAACTTGCCAGCAAGACACAGATATTATATACTCACTGAACAGGCAAAAACAGTTGGTTCACAACAGAAGAAGACTGACTCTGACAAAAACTAGGGTTTTCAAAGAAAATATGCAGTTTCAAAAACAAGACTATTGCTATCGCTGGTTACAGTGAGCCATCAATTACCCATCTTGACTCTCTAGCCAATCAAATTGGACAAACAGGAAAGGTAAACAATGAGGATCACAGATAAATAAATAGCTTAGATCTGAACCCCAAAAGAAACGGGTTTCTTACCTCATCAACCAAGGACTTTATTTTCGAAGCGGTATCTTTCTTTAACTGTTTCTTTCTCTTCATCCTAAGCTCCTCTGCAAAATCACCATTGAAGAAAAGAAGGTTTCACGAGACAGAAAAATAGAAGGTAAACTACAGATTCTAGTATAATTTACAGGAAAACCACGGAAGTTCCTAATAACTCCAGTAACTCATCAATAACTCATCAAACAGGTAATACGTGGATAGTTGGACCCTAAGATAAACTACAAAATCTTACCTTTCGCAGCATGGACTTGGGTGAGAATATAATCTCTTTCTTGGTCATTCAGCAGTAGTTGTTGCGCTTTTGCCAATGCTGTTCAGTTAATCAAAGACCATTAAGAAATCAAGAGACCATACAGACAAATCAATTATTTTTATGCTTGATATAACACCATAATGGTGAATTTACACAAAATCAACTGCATATGTAAATAAATTATTTAGAAGAAACTAAACCTCCAAAAGCCTCCTGTGCTTGAGGATGTTTGCATTTGTCAGGGTGAACCATCAAAGATATCTGGAAAAAGATTCGGGTCAGTCACAAAGTTTCCAGTGTATTCCCAAATCCCAATCAGTGGGGTAGTAATCACTTAGCCAACGATTTCTTTCTACTAAGTCGATAAACCATGAATTTAAAAAAACAAAAGTCCTCAGCAGGGAAAATTGCAGAAACAAAAGGTACCTTTCTGTACTGCCTTTTAACATCATCCGTGGAAGAATCAAAAGAAAGGTTAAGATGCTCAAACGGGTTCAGCTTGAAGCATGAGAGAATCCTACAAACGTTTCAAAATTTGAAGATATATGATCATAAGAGACGTGACAGTGCAACACGACTAGCATACTGATATAAACTGAAACAACAATGATAAGTAATGTCTACTATACATAGAAGACATGAGCAAAAACACCCACAGATCACATAACTCTGTAGCCCAAAATATCAATAAGACAGTGCAAAAAGGAGAGAAATTGAAACAATTTTCACAAGATCCACTTTCTCATAAGTGCATAGTCAAAGTTGAACATAGCCAAAAAAAGCTGTAATTTCGTTCATACAGTTCCCTAAGTTACGATCGTAAGGTCGAAAATTTCAGAACATAGAAACCCCTAACCCACTATAAAATGCATAAAAACGATTCAGATCAGGAACAGAGTTGAAGGGTACAAGCTAAATTGGACATAGGAAAAAGGGTTTCGAAGGAACCTGACGACTTCGTTGTCTCTCTCAACTTCACCGACCTCGGCGAGGAAGGATTTAAGAATCGAATCGTCGTCTACTTTCACCTCTCCCATGACTCTGTTTTCTTATGATTCTCTTGTCCTCTCTTCTTCTTCTCCTTCCCACGATGACAAAGAGTAAGAGAAGAACGAAGAAGAAACGAAATTGGCGGATTCTCTGGGCTTACTCTATTCTGGAATTGACGTCGGGTACTCGGGTGGGTTAACTTGTGGGTCTGGATCTGAGTCTTTCGGGTCAAACAAGTGGATTCGGATTAGGGCTAGACAGTAGACACTAGACAATGTAATTAATTGTCAACTGGATAGATAATTATTCTATGAGAAGAAAATATCATTTTTTTATATATTTATCATGAGCACTTGGCAAAAAAAAGTCTATCAAAATATCCGTTTTTCATATAAATTAACTTATGAAAAAATTAAGAAAAACTAGGTTAATAGTAAATATATACCACTATGAATTATTAAAAAAATAAAACATGAAAACTACCATAAAACTATAAAAACATTAAGATACTAATAATTTTATTTTCGAAATTTTTACGATATATTGGATCATCTCTTCAATATAGCTCTTACCATATATGAATTATATATTGATTTTACCATCCCACTTTCACACAATTGTCATAGTACATATACTTTTTTCTTTTTTTTTTTCTTTTTCTTGTTGGTTCACATGATCATATATTCATATCTAATATAAAATCTTAATCAATGTATGCATCCTCTTAAGTATACAACAACTGAACTAAAACGACACTAATATTGAGTATTTGATCATGCTTCAAACTCATGAACATCTCCTTACAAATCATAGTTTTCAATTTTCAGTTCCTAGAGTTAAGTGATCTATATTTTTAAAAACTTATAAACTTTTAAAAGATCAAATTCGTAACCTTACTTAAACTTAATGTAGACAAAACATTAACGTATAAAATTGCAGGTTCACATTTTGTTTGCGAAGAGTGTATATAGAACAACAACACTTTGTACAAAACACAACACTCATCATCATAATAAAATATTTCTTACTCCAACAAGGTCTTTAACCTCATCAAAAACAATAAAATTATACTTCTAGTTTTCACCCCATCAGCTTTCTTCCCTCTCCTAACTCTTACTTCTTTATTATCTTTTTATAATTATTTTTCTTTTTTACCCACAAACCAAAAAGGTTAGTGGTAAAACATATAGAGGTAAAAAAAATAAGGTAGAAAAAAAACACCATGATCAACAACAATTATTGGTTAATATGCATATATATTCGAGTAAAGCACATACTCGATTACATATACACATATTTAGATAATAATAATATATCATATGCTTATGCTTCTTTTGTAAATTACTCTCTTTTTTGGTCTTTTAAAGAGTTTCTCTAAGTGGCAATGCAAAATGGTTCAATGGACAAGAGTGACCTCCTTCGTTCCTTGCATCCATTAATCCAACCGTCACCTATTGATTTGTTCACAAAGTTTTGGGCTTGAAATTGGGTTTTTGTGTTTGGAATTGGGCCAAAAGCTTCAGTGTTAGTGGACTTCCAAGAGTAGTCACATGTGTTGAAGCAAGCAGCTCCAACGGTGTCGTCCACTGTGGACGGCGGTTTTGTTGACCTAGCAAGCTGAGCCACCCTTGGCCTCGGCGGCAGAGAGTGAACCACCGGTGTGGAGAGATCGGATTTGGTGTCGAATTCGTCAGTCACAGGCCATCTTGCGTTTCTCTTTGGTACACCAATGGGCTTATGGGCCAACCTATGAACAGTTACAGGAATGGACTTTTGTGCCAGCTTATAGAAAAGCCCATTGGGCTTGTAGGCGAACTCGTCTGGTGGTGCCTCATCTTCTTCTTTCTCTTCTTCTGCTTCTTCTTCTTCTTCCTCGTCGAACCACTGAACCTCCGATTCAGTCTCATATTCTTGGTCGTAAGTGGTTTCGTTGCTGATTTCAGCAAAACTGAGGAGGAGACGTCCGTCTTCGCGTTTAGCGGAGAAGTTGTTGTGCGACGGCATAGAGACAGCTTCAAGAACCAATCGGCCATTGTCGCGGCGAGTTTTCATGTGCAGAGACGAACCAGATTGGCTCGAAAGAGAACGAATCGGAGGAGGAAACGATCCTCGAGGCAACTCGTTGTTAGGAACCGTGACCGATTCTTGCTGATCAACCTCAATCACAGCAGCAGCCTCTGTTTCTTCTTCAACCTTGGTCTCCGTGACGTTAACAACGAGCTCCTGAATCTCGATTTCAGCATCTCCAGTCTCCGACGATGCGTACGAAGAGAAACCTTCGCAACCCGTCTCGGATCCGAGACTCTCAGTGCAAATCTCGAGGCTTTTCTCGCTCAAAGAACTCGCACGTTTCATCAGAGGATGAACGTACGGTGGAGGAACCGTGTCGTTGCTCGCTTCGTCCTTCTTCTTGTCCGACAAGATCGAGCTCCAAACATCGGATTGACCCGGCTCGGTCTCGTTCTCTTTCTTATCGTTCTTGTCTTGTTGAATCTGTGCCCAGATATCGACCCCGGATCTTGATTCTTCCTCAGCTTCTTCATGGTCAGGAGAAGAAGCACGAAGCTTCTCAGAGGAAGAGATCCTCTTCATAGGAGAAAACCCATTTTGGGAAAGCCAAGTCTTGGAGGACAAATCGGCGGAGAAGGTTCTCCTGAGCGAAGGTGCAGATGAAGTGTTCGACGAAATGCCAGCAAGGATGGTCACTATGCCTTGCTGTTTCTTCAAAGAAGAAGACAAGCTAAGGCTCTTGCTTAAGCCACAAGCCATCATTCTCAAATAAGGAATCGCAAACTTCTCTCGACAACACTACTCCCTCGCTTTCCTGCACAATTATATTACAAATCAAGAATGTTAACAAAGAAAATTATTGAATCGTTTTTAAATGTGATGATGATCAGTTCGGATGGGCATGTAAACCATACCTGGAGATAATTGAGAGAGTTGAAAAGAGAGAGAGAGGGTGAATGAAAAGTATTCAAAGTTGTGTGTTATGTGAAGTTGTGTTGTATAGAGAAGATGTGTTTGTTTGATGGATGATGAGAATGAGACATATGAAGAGGGGAGTGAAGAGGTGGCTTTATATATAGACAACTTCTTTCATTATGGAACCATGTACTGTGGGCTCCTCCATCAACTTATATGACTCTTCATTGTCTTTTCTTTTTTTTGTTATCTTTTAGTATTGATTTCTAATAACAATGAAAAGATTCTTTAATTAAGTATTTGATGCAAGAAACAATGAATTAAACGCAAGAATTTTAGACCTTAGAAACTTTTCAATGTTTTTAGTTTACTACTAGTTGTTGTGATCGTTTTTACCGTGCGACTAATTTTGTATAAGTGAATGTAGTCGTCGGGTAGTACATTCACTAGATTTTCTAATATACATAAAACATTACACCATTTCGAGTAGACAAACTTGAGTGATTCTTTTAATCAAAGGTTTTAGCTAGTTTTAAAATTATAAGTTTTCCAACGTCCACACAATCATAAAATTTGCATATTAGGATAACTTTGCAAACAAAAACAAGACGAGACGGGTATTTTTAGTTGTGATATAACCAGCGATCGGCGTGTGTCGTAGCCAAACCAAAACTAAACGAATATGAAACGAAATAATAAATGTAAGAAAAAACTTTTAGTGTCAAGAAAAAAAGGAAGAAAAAGAAGAAAAATGTTGACGTATGGCATCGATTCCCTGTTGAACCAATAACGTGGCACATTGTGGAAGTCACAATTTTCATCTTTTCTTTTGAGCTAAAACGATGAGAATGTTCCAAAAATATGCAAAAACAAAGCTGGATGCCATTATTAGTAGTAGTAGCTATAGTAGGATCGATGTTCGTTTTTTTTTTTTTCTTTTTTCTTATACAAGTTAGTTACCTTTCTACTACCACTTGTGTTTATCTTATACTAGCTAGTACTCAGTATTGAGCAAAACTACCCCGTTTCAAGCTTTATGCTAAAGCGTCTCATAGTTGTTATAAAGGAACATTTATGTAAACCTACAAATCATATAATAGTTATGTAAGATAATTAACTTATCAACCGGTTTCAAATCTGACATTGCATACCATCGACTAAAAAAGCTTCACCTGATCATGAATTTCCTACGTTACCCTAGCTAGGTCCCAAACCAATGTAAGTTTACAATTAAACGTACATATTCTGCGTAATTAAGATGTGACCGGATGTCCGGATCGAGAGTACTAGTGATTCTAATGATTTAATAAACTATTTGTGACCAAAATAAAAATAATTCATATACATTTTAAATGTAACTATATGAAAGTGATAACAGGTGTATAACCTAAAAACATACTTATAATCGTAGTTCGAAAACTTTATTTAAAGTTTGATTATAGAATTGTTAAACTACACGAGCATCAAAGTAAAACCTTTACTAAGATAAATGGTCGTTTAAATAACTTAACCGTATATTGTCTGAAATTTATTTGGGGGAAAAAATACAAGTTGGTGGGTAGGAGAGTAGGATACGGTCCGGGAGAAAGAGACGTGTGCATGGGGACACGAAGACTGAATAATCTTTTGTCCTCAAGTGTACTACGTGGTTGCATGTTTACGTGCGTATATATATATGTATATCCGTATATATATATATGATGTTGATCAAACTTATAGATGAAATATATAGATGATGATGATGATGATGAGATCATTATTGGTCCTATCCGGAAAACGATAAAATGTTCTAAAAGTATCTAAACGATATCAAGTGCGTACCCCTACGTACGTACATCCATGTATTGTTCGATCTATAAAAATTGGTTTCAGTATATGTACAAGTTTTTTCGTTTCTTTTTGAATGGTATGATCGCATCATATCTCTAGAATATTGGCCCGCAATGTCTAATCCCCATTTATAATCACCCTTATTATTATGCAATTTTTTTTGTTTCTTTTCTTATATACAAATATATATACTTTGTACTTATAAGAAAGATGTAACAACATCCAAATCGAAATTATAAGATGGTAGAGAGAAATTGAGAATTTGAGAAATATCATATATAAACCTCTTAAACAACCTTTTCAAAAATACCATTAAAAAGGTTGTTTAAAATATTATTTAAACCTTTGTTTTAAAATTTTATAATATTATGAAATTATAACTTTAGAAAGCCATATTTGTGGAGTTTTTGAAAAGAAAAAATGAAAGTTTTTTAAACTGATATCATAAAAGTTGCATTTTCGAAATTCCAAAAGAGAAGACAATTAAATATTACAAAATATTTGTTGTTTTATTTCCTAATCTTCCTAAACCCTTAAAACTTTTAAATGCCTCTCAAATGACTTTATGTATTTTGAAATAGCTAGTTCAATAATAGTTAGTAATATTTTGGAAACAAAAATTACCAAAAAGAGAAAACACAAAGGCAACGACATCCAGAAAGAACAAACATTTCCAATTAGGTTAAAGGAAGATAGCGAGAGACACTCATTGTGGGCAAAACATCGCTTAAGGTGGAAGCAAAGGAATCACTTTTCTCCTTTTAAAGGACCAAATTTAATTGGACGGACCAACTAATTTACCAAAAAATTAAAGTTAACTAAACTCATCATGACATCATCAAAAAATATTGAATTCCCTAATTAGGGCTATGGATTACTAGTTGATAAGAGTATTACACATTTATCTCATTGTCTCTAGCGATATTAATCACTTAATTAATTACCATAATGTACAAACTTACACCCAAACAATCTGATATATAATTTCGTTTTTGTTCAGTTTCGAAATTTTATGTAGTTTATTTGCTTAAACTTTTAGAGATATTTTAATATGGTTTATAAATCCGATTTGCAGCTTCGGAAATCTATCTTATTTTAAAAACTTTCTATCTAGTATAGTAGTATACACATATATATATATAGTATAGCTTAGTAGCTATAGGTGCAAGTGTCAACAGTACAAAATGAAAAAGTATAGGCGTAAGTTTGTATATATAGTTATATACAATTCGAAAAACCTCATGGCATGGCATGAAATCAATTTGAAGAACTAAGTTATAAAAGACAGATGAAAATACCTAAAACGTTAGAGATAATAGCATAAGGGGGTTTATTCGATAGATTTGGATTCCTATTTATCTATATGTATTGTTTGTTTTATTTTGTTATATAAATACATGGAATATACTTTCACCCCATATATACGTAGCATCATATGATGTAACAGCTACATCTGGTTAATTAAGAACAGATTTCAATATGTTTATGGAATTTATTCTTAGACAATAGAGAACAGAAATCACCAAAATGCTGTTAAAAACGGTTTAATTAAGATAATTTGATTCCTTTTATATTGCTGGCTTGTTGCTAAAAACCATGTTAAAAAGTAATAACTAGTTAACGCACATAAGGATATCCATTTAAGTTTGCACAATTACACATAAACATGTGTCGTATTCCCAAAAAAACGGTTTACCTAGTTAAAGAAAGAATCCAAAAGAAAACAGGAACAAACACATTGGATTATAATTTAGGTAGTCCTCTGATTCACAAAAAACTATTGTCTTTAAATTTATTTTTGTTTCACAAAAAACATCGTTTTATCTTTTTAATGTAATGTTTCAAACTAGATCTTTAATTTATCCTTAACTCATAGCTGCTTTTTATTGAATTTTAAAACATAATTATTTATTAAATAAGTATACACATGTATATATTTTTTTAGTTTGTGTGAAAAATGACATATACTAAATTAACACTATTTATATAGGGTTTTTTGCCTATATATTCCCTAGTTAATGCATATAACGATACACGAGCTTATATAATTAATACCTATATTACATTACTGGAAAATAGAAATTGCTAGGAAAAAATAAGCTACACAATATTGGTAAATTAAACAAAAGAAAATATTAAAATAGTATAGGACGAAAGATTAAAAAGAGTAATTAAAAAGCTGAGATTACCAAAGAGAAGAATCACGAAAGTGGAAAGCAACCGAAAGCTCGTGTCTTGTTGTTTGCATGTTGGGTCCTTTTGTCTCTCTTTTTCTCTCTCTACGAATAATGTGAAGAAGATGCTCATATACGTAGCGTCGTTCATCAGAATATATATAAACACAAATTAATAGTAATTTAACAAAAAGGTCTCGATGTTGATCCCTTTTACGAGTATTTATAATTAATTAGTATGAACAAAAGAAACCCAAAAAACAAAAACAAAAAGTGGCCGGTAATTATAGAATTTAGTATTTATGATAAAGTTGCATGCATGATCGATCAAGAGAGCTTTTAGGGCGTCGAGAGAGAGAGAGAGAGAGAGATAGAGAGAGCGCGTCGCCACAGAAGAAGAAGAGGAGAGAATTAGACATGGATGCGTTTTGTCTCTACCTATACACCAAAGGAACACCACTCAATTTTCTATTTATTTATTCATTTTAAAACTTTGTTTTTTTTTTGTTACTCACCATATATCAAAAACTCAAAATCAAACTATACTTTTGGTATTTTATCTTCTTTAACCCTAATTTTTTTGTTGTCTTGATGCAATTTATTAGCATCTAAATTGGTATTTGTGTTGGCTGATTTCAATATTAAATTCTTTTAATTAATCATTTTATTTTTTTAAAAAAAAAATAAAAAATAATAATTTTAATAGTATGTGAGGTGATACCCTAAATTTTACTATTTAGTATAGCGAAATAAGTATGACATATGCATATTAATATCAATGAATTGAAATAAAACAACAACAAGAAAAAAAGACAAAAATTTAGGAAAGCCACTTAACCGGTAACCATATCGTGACGACGAAACCTATACCAACTTGTAACTATCTCAAAATAAATACTTGGATTTGTTTATTATATGTAAATAATGTATGTACGTCGACCTATACGTGAGGATCGACTACTAAACATCAAACATATATACAATTTAATACATATGAAAAAATTACATTGCAGATGAGAAAATGGGAATGACGCATGGGCATATTTTCCTCGTTTTGCATGGCTGGATTACGTGAAGCTTTTTCAAATGTAAATTATTTAAAAATGATACACATTTAAGTAGATTTTCTTTTCACATTAATTATGTTAGTGCCGCTCATCTAGACAAACGTCGACTCTGTACTG